AGAATGCCAAGCCACGATCTGGCCACGTGAATAAGTTGAAGTTACATCCTTCTAACAGGAAAAGTAACTTTCGTTATCATGGAATTATAACAAAACCTGCCAATTCAATATAAATGGAAAAAAAATATTATATGGAATTGAACGAAAATGAAAATTTGCTTGATAATTCAACTACGCTTGTTGGAGAACAATAAAAACACTACACTCAACAAGCCACCAATAAAACTCAACTGCCTAACCTATAACCAAAGTCTCCTTTTAATTTGTTTTTAAAAAAAACGCTTGACAAACTTGCCCCGTATGCCGAAGTTGCCCCGGTCTCCCCTATATTTTTTATTTGCATATTTCATTAATGAGATAAATAAAAATGCCAAATATTTCAATATTTTGCATTAAACTCAGACAAATGTCTTCTAGATTCTTTCGATTTTAAATATCTTGAATTTGAACTTTTACATTGTTTAATACAACATTGTTTTCAAATTATTATCAGTATAGATATATAATACCCATCAGTAATTTAATATAACGTTGTCAAAAAGTTTTAATTTTATTTCTCTAGTAATACCACGCAATAAAAAGTAAAATTTAGTGTTTATTGAAGGATTAAAATTGTTTGTTTTGTGATAATTAATAAAAGGTAGTATTTCTAATAAATAATTTTTGTTTCTCCTCTTTTCCTTTCCTGCAAACAATCGCCGCGGGTTGACATTGCGACATAAAGTTCAGTATGGCTTTATACAGCAAGCAAACTGTCATAAAGTTACCCCAAAAATAAGTTAAAAATTATTACAGATAATTTTTACAATATTGTTTAAAACTATAAATTAACAATTAAGAACTCTATGTAAAGAAAGTGGGTGTTAAATCTTTCTAAAATGACATGTTAGATCCAATAATCTAGTAATTAACATTAAAAAATACATGTGAAAAGTGTCACAAAGTAGCTTCGATTTACAGTATATAAATTTATATATGAAAGTTTTAAAAACATATTGAAAAAATATACGTAATAAATAAAAACATTTAAGAAAAGTAATTATGTTACACAATGTAATTTATTTGTAAATTTAAAATAATTAATATTTTATTTAATTCTTAAAATATTATTAATTGAATTATTATCAATTATAATTGTATCTCGAAGATATCAATAGGATAAACAGCTGTTAAAAATCCGGTTATTTTATATAATATATATAATATAAAAACGTTAATCGGCTTAATTAGATCAGTTGTAAAATTTAACGAATTCATCATGAATATAACATTTCTCTACGTGTTTTTAGCATCACTGCTTTTGCTTCCATCGTTTGTGAGCTTAATTTTTGTTCCTCCAGAATTTCTAAATTCTTATGCTTAAAATTTTAATACTACTAATTTTACAGGATGCAACCTTGTGCAATGGAAATGATGATTGTGAACCTCACGAATGCTGTGTGCGAAACATATGGGTTAATTACTGCAGAAGTTATAAAAAAGAAAGTGTGTATGACCATTCACTTGAAATATTTTAGATTTAATTCAACTTAATTATGATTATTATTTTATTTTATAATATATATATATATATGTATGTGTGTGTGTGTGTTTTTAAATATATATTTACATAAGATAATTATCATCTTTATAATATGATGAAACATGATTAGTGCAATNACATTGTTTAATACAACATTGTTTTCAAATTATTATCAGTATAGATATATAATACCCATCAGCAATTTAATATAACGTTGTCAAAAAGTTTTAATTTTATTTCTCTAGTAATACCACGCAATAAAAAGTAAAATTTAGTGTTTATTGAAGGATTAAAATTGTTTGTTTTGTGATAATTAATAAAAGGTAGTATTTCTAATAAATAATTTTTGTTTCTCCTCTTTTCCTTTCCTGCAAACAATCGCCGCGGGTTGACATTGCGACATAAAGTTCAGTATGGCTTTATACAGCAAGCAAACTGTCATAAAGTTACCCCAAAAATAAGTTAAAAATTATTACAGATAATTTTTACAATATTGTTTAAAACTATAAATTAACAATTAAGAACTCTATGTAAAGAAAGTGGGTGTTAAATCTTTCTAAAATGACATGTTAGATCCAATAATCTAGTAATTAACATTAAAAAATACATGTGAAAAGTGTCACAAAGTAGCTTCGATTTACAGTATATAAATTTATATATGAAAGTTTTAAAAACATATTGAAAAAATATACGTAATAAATAAAAACATTTAAGAAAAGTAATTATGTTACACAATGTAATTTATTTGTAAATTTAAAATAATTAATATTTTATTTAATTCTTAAAATATTATTAATTGAATTATTATCAATTATAATTGTATCTCGAAGATATCAATAGGATAAACAGCTGTTAAAAATCCGGTTATTTTATATAATATATATAATATAAAAACGTTAGTCGGCTTAATTAGATCAGTTGTAAAATTTAACGAATTCATCATGAATATAACATTTCTCTACGTGTTTTTAGCATCACTGCTTTTGTTTCCATCGTTTGTGAGCTTAATTTTTGTTCCTCCAGAATTTCTAAATTCTTATGCTTAAAATTTTAATACTACTAATTTTACAGGATGCAACCTTGTGCAATGGAAATGATGATTGTGAACCTCACGAATGCTGTGTGCGAAACATATGGGTTAATTACTGCAGAAGTTATAAAAAAGAAAGTGTGTATGACCATTCACTTGAAATATTTTAGATTTAATTCAACTTAATTATGATTATTATTTTATTTTATAATATATATATATATATAATAATTAATTAATTAATTGAAAATAGGTAGAAAAAATATATTTCTTTTCATTTTCTAGATGAACATTGTCATGAAGAAACACCTCTAGTGCATAAAAAAGATGACGTTTACTTACTTGCATGTCCTTGTGCTGAAGGACTGAAGTGCGTACCAGAAAAAACTGTTAATATGGATGGCGTAAGTTACATTTATTTACATAAACGTTGTTTATTTTATTCGAATTTAGTTCCATTATTTAAATTTTTTTTCTCTTTTTCTTTTTCTAGGAGACCAAACATCTTTTGCCGAAATGTATTGCAGAATAGTTCTATTTCATTTATACTGTAATAAAATTTATGCGAGTAGAATTTCCGTTCTTTTCTATATCTCATTTCAGCTTAATAACGTATCTTTTATATTTTTCAATTAATATAATTTGTATTTTAAAGATCTTTATGAAACTTTATGAGATTAACTTTGAAGAAAACTAATTTTAAGGGAAGAAGAACTAATTTCTCCTTTTGACTTTTGCTAACCTAAAATATGTGAAAACATAAAAAGATGAAAGTTTCATCGTATATTTTTACTTGACTGTCACAAACGTATTTAATGTTACCAGCAGAATTTTTATAAATATAATAAGCATATACAAAATGTCACTAGATCTTGATTTTGAACATGAATTTATTATAACGCTATAATACGAACCCATTTTATTTTGTTACGCTATTTTGTTTATTTATTCCTTTCAACAAGGCTTATGCAAGCAATCACAAAAATTATTTGAAAATATTATTTAAAATTTCTAGAAAATTGGTATATTTAGCGGCGAATTTAAGGCATTAGAGAGTTTTGTTTTTTTTAATTTCATTCGTTTGGAACCGTTTGTAAAAAATCCGATAAATAAATAGAAAAAGAAAACTCAGACTAAAATAAAGTTAAGAATAATAAAATTAAAAATAAGTATAATTTTTAAAATTATATTTACTATTATTCAAATTTTACAGTTATATATTTAGATTAAATTATATTTAGCTCTATTAAAATGTTTTAAATACAAATCTTAATGAATTTTGGGATTATTTGAAATACTGTATTTATTTATTTTTAAAAAATATAAATAAAATATAGCATAATAATAATAATCATTATTATGAAATAGCAAACATATTTTCAACGTGTGTATAAGATTTAATATCAAACTTTATAAGAAAATGATTTTATTATTTCAAAAAATAAAATAGAAGTAATGTGGAGTATAACTGAAAAAAAATAAATAAAAGAAGAATTACAGCCTATTCGTGCTTGGTAACTGCATTTATATAAATAAAACATCACGTTTATTATTATATCGACGGACTTCTCTAGCAAAGTTATACCTCAATTAAATAATATAAACAGAAATAATAAAACTAAATAACTTGTCTCAGCTTTTTCAATTCAATACAATTATTTGTCATATGCAATCTCATTATTCACTAGTAATACATTAATTTCTATTAATTTTATTGTGTTTACGTATCTTTTTTCGATTTACACTTTCAAATTAGTTTATCTGTGAAATTTAATAACTAAAATCCGAAAGAAATTTCTGGATAAATATTAAATATTATATTAAATTGTATATGCATTTAGAACTCAAACACAATTAATTTATAATTGTTTTTACATTGAATTAGTTAGCCTAATAAATAGGGTTGTAATAAATTGGAAGGTTTATCACATCAGGGGCTGACTGGAATAAATAGACTATAGAATATTTATTAGGCTAACTAATTCAATCTAAATTAATGTTGTAAGCACGAAGCATAATTTAATATTATAATTTTTTTTGTCTATACAGTATTTTACTTTTAATTGTTGACAATAAATTGTTTCAGAAAATTCATAATTTTTTATATAGATTTTATTTCTATGAGCGTAATCATTTTATTTTATTAACAATATTCTAAATGTTATTGCATCATAGTATGCGAGCATGAGAAATCTTTTTATCTATCTTTACAAAATGAATATTTATTAATTGATTATAAATAATTTTTATTCAATAATTATATTAATTTATAATTTTTATATAAAGTGAGTTATTAATACTTTATATAAAATTAAGAATTAAATTAAATAAGTTGATTAAATTATTTAAATCAATTAAATTAAATTAAAATTACTTAATTATGTTTAAATTAATTATTTATATTTGATTTTAAATATTAAAATAATATTTATTTCGGACAAATTCATTTTACTTGCTTAAATAAACTAAAACGAAACTTAAGAGAGATGATAATATTTCAGTGCCATTCTTTCGTCTATTGCAGAATACTTAAATGCTTAAATGATATATCTAATTATTCTAAATATTCAACAGAAAAAAGCATAATTAAACATTGAATCTTTCTTCTCCTAGTTCCTCCTTTCTCAAATATTTTCACAACTGATTAAACATTACTTTGTATTTAAAATGCCAACCATACAGGATAAAATTCCTTATTTAATAAAAGATAGTAATGTTTTTAAATTTTAATTTAATGTAATTTAATATAATTTATATTTGACTTACTTTACATGAAATATAAACATCTTATTTGCAAAAATATTTTAATAAATTTTATTGCTTCTTACTATAAAATCTACTTCTTATATTATATTGACTAATTTCGTATGCAAATGAATAACAACATAAAAATTATAAAACAATAAAAAATATTTTTTTTATATTAAATAAATATAAAACAGTTTAATCTTAAATTTTGTTAAAATTCCTCAGCAACAACTGACATTAAAACAGTTATTTGTTGCCGAGGCAACAAATCACTGTTTTAATGTTTTATTAACAAACAAGTAACAAGCAGGTTTTGGCATTACAGTACACTAAAACATATACATATATAAATATACGAAAATTTACTACTTAGAAAAAAATAAATATATCAAAAATCAAGAATTATTCGATATACTTTATTAACATTTTAATCTTAGTTTTTTTTTATAACAAATACAATATATACAGTAATTTTTATGAGTGGCAATCGTTATTTTTGTAACACTGTTGTAAACGAACAAATGCGCAAAATCTATATTTTTTTTACTACTTCGCATACGTGTTCGACAATACAATTGTCTCGTACTAGTTTCAGATTGCTTCCGACAATTATATTTCAGAATACTTACAAGATACTGTCAGTTATTTGCGATTATCTTAAATATTTCATGGTCTCGACTGAAAATAATGAAATTTTACATACTTGTATGTTTTTTCCTATCTGCTACTGCCAAAAAAAGAGGTAAAGATAATGATGATACTTAGTATTTTTTTATTTCAAATAATCTTTTCTCATAAATATAAATTAATATTAAAGTATAGATATTTAATCTCATTAATTTAAATTTCAGTTATCTTTATATAAGCAGTTTACAATGATATTTTTATGCGTGTTAATTAGTCTTTATTTGATTTATTTTAAACTTTGTTGTTTTAGCACATCTTAAAAACAGTTTGTTTTTTGTCGATTAAATTCCTAATATTGCTCAATAGCTGTCTAATAGTTTCGTGTAACAATTATTAGATAAATGTAAATAGAAAATATAGATTATTACTAAATTGAGAATGTTTTAACATGTCTTAAACATTCCAAAATAATTAAGGCATTTATTTTTTCAAGCACCTTTAAAAAAGTAATACTTACACAATAGAAATAAAAGCAAATAAGATGATGAAGTACAGTACTTAACCGTGTTTTCGATTATAATTGAAATGTTTTTATGATATTTATTAACAACTCCTGTGGTTTTTGTCGAAATTTTCTGAAATTTTGCAGGGGATGAATTGTTTATTAAGGGTTGATGCTATTAAATTTTGATGTTTAATGGTCGAAAGGGTGGGAAATAATGGGGTTCGTGTGTATCTCCAGTAGGGTGGGACTTAATGACGATTTTACTCGTTATTAGCATTTACAAATTTTTATAAAACTCATCCCAACCTTCAAAATTAATCTTTCTGCCATTTTATAATTGTTAAAAGTATTTAAAAATTTTTTAAATAAAATATGATAACGGCGTAACTAAAAGTTTAATCTGTTGGGAAAGTTTAGCATCTCGTTGCTGTTTTATTCTTTACGGGCTGTCCTGCTGTACAGTACGTTCTGAATATGTTCGCATCCCTCACTACCCGTACATTTCATTTTAGGATGGGCCAAATCCATAATCGGAATAAATGCTCTGTGATGCTTACAGGGCGGAATGAATCGAAAATTAAAAAATGTAAATTATTTTATATTCTACAAGTCTATATATTAAGTTTTATTTACGTGCGTATTATTTTGTGTAGTAATAATTTTCATATTTTGTAACTTTTAGCTTAAAATAATCTATAGGATAAATCAGGGTTAGATGTTGAACCGGATTACATGGTTAAACCATGTAATTACTGTATAAACTGAAAGTTATCGTTGCATATTGTGCTAGATGAAAGTCATGCTTGCTGTCTTTACCGTTTACGCGCAATTGCTATAAAAAATAAATGAATAAATCGAATGTTTCTGTTTCTGACTTGCATAATTTTTACACGTGTTTATGTTTACTGTAGCCTCGAAAATCTTAAGTTTAGATTATCAGACGACTTTTGTTTCTTGTCTTTAATAGAGTCTTTAATAATGAGTGTAATCTGTACTCGATCAAAATCAACAGAGCTGGTTTTTGCAGAGGGCTTATCCATATACTGTTCATTAACTTCTAAGGATCAGATGGCGATTTAGCAGAAAATTATACAGGATGTTCGGAAAGTCACTATTCACTTTTCTAATCACATTTTCGCATTATTTCGAAAGACGTGTGATCCCCACACTCATCAGATATATATCCACGAGTCTTTTATCTATGAAGAGCATCTGTGTCGAGATCGTCCGCGCATGCTGTTATCGCTACTTCAGATAATGATAACAGCAATATTCATTCAGTCTATTTCATGCGAGCAACTGATAGCGGTGTTTAGAAACAAAAGAAGGATCCAAACCTGTGTTGATGCTAAAAGGGTACTTTGTATTTTGTACAAAGTACCCATTTACTTTGTACAAAATACAAAGTAAAAGGTACTTTGTATTTTTGAATTTGTTTTCGAAAAACATTATTATTTTGCTCGTTGTTGTTTTTTGGTATGATAAAAAAAAATACCAGTTCTGTCAGTTTTTTTTAAATAAACTTTATTTTCACACTCACAGCTTCCAGAACTTTTTCTTGAATCATGCTGGTAAATCATTTTGTACTAAGGCGAATTTTCTTCCAAAAAAACAGGAACCACATAACGATTGTTTTGCCGAAATATTTTATTTTTCGACGCTGCCACCTTTTACAAATGTTTATTTCGAGCCATAAAAGGATGCTATCAAAGAAAAATAAAATATTTCGGCAAAACAACTGTTGTGTGGTTTCTTCTGTCTTTGAAAGAAAATATATAACGACGATTAGAAACGTTTAACACTTTCAAAATTAACTAAATCTTTATATTTTGTCCATTTAGCTATGATAACCCGTTATTAGTTGGGTTATCATAGTGTTAATCATTGTAACTTTTTTCCTGACTCTTTCAACCCTGAGAGCACGAACATGACATTTTGTCATGTTCATGATGGGTTCAGCCAAGCCCATCATCTTCAGATAATAAGCAGAACCGTTAAAATATTAAGTTGTTATTAATAATTAAAACAGTAACACTTTTTCTATCTCTACAAAAGAATCGAACGGCATTACAAATGATTTTATTTAAATATTCTACAATTTAATTGCATTTACCGTGATATATTAAATTAAGCATACTGATTCAAATATAATGAAGATTAGAAATATTTAACATGATAATTTAACGAAACTTTTAATTATTTTTAGATGGAACTGATCCACAAGAAAACGTTACAGCAGAAGTCAGTTCATCAGTTTCATTACACTGCAGGATAAAAAATTACAGAAATTATGAAGTAAATTTCTTGCATTTTTAAGTTTTATTTATGAATTTTAGTATTCAATTCATATAAATTTAAGTATAAAATAATAATTAATTTACTAATATATTGAAAACTTTAACAGGTGATGTGGATGAAGAATTATTCAAAGCTATTAACAATAAATTTTGATACTTACACAAATGATTCAAGATTTCGTGCCGAGTATGAAAATCATACAAATGACTGGATTTTGAAAATAAACAATGCCAAACAAGACGATTCCGGAAATTATAAATGCATAGTAAAATCCAATCCGAATTCTTATTACTATGTTAATTTAACAGTTCTCAGTAAGTTTCCTTAAATGCGTGATATTCAAAATTTCTTTATAAAAATATTAAATAAATGGCATTATGTGAATAGAGTCTATTGTGTTTAGATAGCATAATCATAAAAACGTCGATAGTCTTCGAAAGAATAAAAATATTTCTAATATTAAGTCATATGTTTGTCAAAAAATTGAATTAATCATTAGAATAGTTGATATCGAATGATCATGCTGTCAGTTAAAATAAAAATTTCTGCCTGCTAATTTTTGTACATTTAGAAGTAAAGTATCTTCAGTCTGCTCCTAGTATTTTCTTGATTCCATTCGTCCATTTATGAATACTGAACATAAAGAAAATAGAGAGCACAATCTTCATGTCTCTATTCTGTATTCAATTTGCATATACGCTATCTTTGTGTATTTCAGACGTTTTCTATATTTTAATGTAGAAATTTTGAATAAAAAATGTTGGAATATTTTTAACTTTTGATAAAACCTGTCATAATAAAGGACTCCACGAGAAAGGAAACGTTGAAACTAAAGCATTCGTTCTTCGAAAATTAGCTGTATATTCGTGACCTACTCGAAACTCTTCAGATTTACAGTACATTTGAGAGAGTTGTATTAACGCTTTCTATCAATTTGGAGTCAGCATTAACTCTTTTATTATTTCATTGACAATTATTATTGACATCTACATATGCTGAAAATTCCAATCCTAAAATACCTTTCTTTTTAATATTAATATATGTCTATTAAGCTACTACCACCCGTGGAGTGCATAGAAAAATTTATTTTAAAAAATTGCCGGGACGAATTTACTTTTACAAAGAAAAAAATATAAAGTAAATTTGTCCCGGAAATTTTTTAAAATGTAGAGGAGAAGGTGGTATTATGGAACCCCAATACATTTTAGTGAATTGTAAACAAGGTATCATAACTACATTCACAGTTTTTTGTGCGAAATGTACTGGTAACTAGTAATCTAAATGTTCCTAATTGGATCTTTCGCTAGTGTAATTATAAGTATGGTTTTTGAAGGCTTTTGTACAAAAAGTCCGAAAGTAGGCTTAGAGAAAATCGGGTGGTAATATGGAACCTTACTGTATATTTTCAAAAAAATGCTTTAATGTAGCCAAAAACAAATAGGAAAG